ACAATCATCAACTTGCATGTCATTCGTAACATGCACACTTTGGGAAGTGAGCATTCATGTGTACCATCAACCTACAGCTGTCATCTTTCCATTCAGGAAGTCACTCAATCCAAACCACATATTTATGTCTAGCTAAGCTCCTTCCAGGCTCTCCTCTTTTCTGTCTTCTCATCTTGACACTGCATTTTCAGAGTCCTCTATCAACTATCTGGGCTCACCTCTTCCAAAAGAAGCCACTCCACTGCTCCTATGTCAGTTTCTATTAACTCTTCCCCTCAAAGTGATGAGCTCCCCAGTTCAGTTTCAGAATTTTCATTTAACATTTAACTTTAACGTCCCTGAAAATTGATTTTAGCTTGAAGATTCCTTTGTCCTTCAAGTTATTCAGATACCTATGCTCTTACGACAAAGTAGAGCTGTCAGAATGTTTTTGTGCCACCTTTCAATATGATTTTATGAGCAAAGTAAGTTTCTAATCTACCTTCCCTATATTGTTCATTAAATTTGTATGATATAATATAGTTGAAGATAGATAACACTTGTGTACTCCTCCTGTTAGTGCAAGACTGGCTATGTCTGTGTACCCCCGCCGCTCATCCACCTCTCTAAGGCTTCTTCCAAAGAAAACGTGAAGATGACACTTTTCATTCTCATTTGTCTTTAAGGTGTAATAACCAACATAGGGCACAATATTGCAGCTGACGGCATATTATTCTACAAACAGATCATAAACAAGACCTTGCCGGCAGAACAGCAGCAACTCTGTGCAAAAGAAGTCAGCTCACTAACAAGCAAAGGTAGAGTTCCAAAAAAATTCATGATATGAAGAACAGATGGTGGCTGGATAAATCGAATGAGCTTCAACTTCTCGCTGAAACCCTTGATATACATGACTTCTTTAATGCTGTTAAAACCATTTATGGCCCATGCAGTAGAGGCCAACCCCCGTGAGATCTAAAGATGGAGGGGAGTTGATCAAAAAAATGGAAGCCATCAACGCACACTGGAACAACACTTCAAAGATCTCCTCAAATCAGGATTCTGCTGTTGACGACAGCATCTTCACCTTCATCCCACAACACCCGATCAGAGATGAATTTGGAATACCTCCAACCCTGGAAGAAGTGTGCAGAGCGATCAACATCTTTGCTGAAGCATATCAGAAAATGGGACTTGCACTTAACTTAACATCCAGAAGACAAAGGTCCTCCACCAGCAAGCTCCTGGTGCACAATTCCGAGCACCAGCAATATGGATCCACAATAACACTCTAGGGAATGTTGCATGCTTCCCATACCTTGGAAGCCACCTCTCACGGACATTGATGAAGAAATCCAGTACCATCTCAAATGGGCAAGCCAAGCTCTTGGTCATCTGAGAAAGAGGGTGTTTGAAGACTGCGACATCAGAACCAAAACCAAACTCATGGTCTTTAAAAGGGTTGTGATCCCCACCCTACAGTATGGGGCTGAAAAGTGGACAACATACAAGAGACCTCTTAAAGCTCTGGAGAAGTATCAATGCTGTATACATAACATTCTGCAATCAAAGGGGTGACAGACACACTAACATCAGCATCCTCTCGCAAGCTAATATTACGAGCATTGAGGCCATTATTATTTATCATCAATTTCACTGTGCAAGTCATATTGTCCGGATGCCCGATTCCAGACTGCCAAAACAAGTAGTCTCCTCACAATTCAGCCCAGGCAGAGAAACCTCATAGGAGGGCAGAAAAAATGTTACAGGGATGTCCTCAAGGCTTATAGGAGGAAATTCAACATTAAACATCAACTTGTGGGAATATATAACCCAGGACCGACAACAATGGAGGAACTGCTTGAGACAGGGAACTCAGCACTTTGAAAATCATATGTGACTACATGTAACGGAAGAACAGAAGTGATAGTGAGCTTGGTATGGCCCGAACTAATATCCCAAGGTCACCCGCCCTACTTGGAAACACACGCCTGCAATGTGGCAGAGTCTGCAGCTCCAGAATAGGTCTTATCAGTCATCAACGGACCCTCAGATCATTTGAAATGGACAATCCATGAAAGACAATCATCCTCAACTTCAAGGGATTCCCAATGATATACATACACACACACACACACCTATCTTTTTCCAGGCACCCAAGCATCATATTTAATACATTTATTGCTGACGCTACACACTGGACAGATTTTTTTCAGTTGACTACCTTAGCCTCAGTTACTCCTTGATCATTTTCCCCTTCGAAAGATCCTACTGCTTTTAGACTCAAGGGACAAGAAAAGTTCAAACTACTTTTAGCAAAATTTGTTACTTTATATCCATCATCTGAAACTACTCAAGGCATCATAGTTTTTAACTGGCCAAAACACAGTGTTTGCAAGCTTCAACTCACAACCAATCTCCTCCTTGAATGAGAAGTTTCTTATCCCTGCTAATTTTTGGTTAGCAGCTTCTCCTTCATCACAAATGAGTAATACATCTCCTCTGTAGAATTCAGAGGCAATCCAACTGGTACTCAAAGCTCCAGTTGCCAGAAGCTGGGAATGAGCGACAGGGGATGGATCACTTGATGATTACCTGTTCTGTTCATTCCCTCTGGGGGGCCTGGCACTGATCACTGTCAGAAGACAGGATACTGGGCTAGATGGACCCTTGGTCTGACCCAGTAGGGCCACTCTTATGTTCTCATGATCTAAGCCCTGCTGTTCAACTCAGGGCACTAGAAGGATTTTTTAAAACCTGCAGAAGCCCTCCAGCAACCTATTAGCATTCAGATAACTTGAAATTACATTAACTAACCTAAACATATAATTGCCTTCAAGTCTCTCTTTAGAGAAAAAAATTATTTTGTATTCCAGTCATTTACGAGACAACCATAGTGGGCTGAATGACAAGAGACTCTGCTAAGAGAAAGAAATTTGCAGGTAAGAAATTTCTCATTCTGCTGCACAGCTTCTCTTCTCATTCATCACAAGTGTGTAGTAGTGAGCAGTGATTCACAGATATAGGGATAAAGGATAAAGCAGACTTTGTTATTATGGTAGAATTATCAACAGAAATAAAAGTTGCCCCTAAAAAGCAAATCCTTGTAATTTAAGAAAGTATTTGAGATCCAATACAGTCATACCTTTTCCTACCAAAGGATGCTTGTATAGAGGAACAGAAGCCTAGCCTAAATTGCAAGACTTCCTCTGATGAGCCTCAGACTTGTCTCCCACACTGTCAGGTATCTTGAAAACCTCCATGAATGGTATCCCAGATACTTAGCATGTAAATTGGTGCAAGACTTTAACATCTTGCCTGGTGCAACTTTGAGGCCTTAAGGCCTGGCATTTTGGTTGGAATGAGATGAACAAGGAACAATTGGTGTGGTCACTTCATATGCTTGAGATTTTTATTGCTCTAAGAATGCCCATTTATACCACCCTCTTCTAAAGGCGTGCTAAGGATTGAAACAAAATGGGAATAACTATTTTCCAGGAATTATGGAAAGAAGAACTTACCTTGGGCATAAAGGTTTCTCAAGCTCTAAGAATAGCAAGGGCAGCTCCCCACTTTGTTATGGTGCTTAGTTGTAGGACCCATTGCTGTACAACAAAGAGCACTGTACAAAGATACAGGCTGTTAATTGTGGGTAGTCCAGGTTAATTGTAGGTGGTCCAGGTCCTAATGAAATGGGGTCCCTGCTATAAAAAGTCTAATCTTTCCTGGAGGTGTCACAGAAATGCCTTCTGGAGCAGTGGAGAACTAGGAGGAAGACCTGAATTCTTTTCTATATCCTTTGTATGAACTGTCCTGAAACACATTACATCTTTCTCTGCCTGAGGCATAATATCCATCGCCACAGAGAAGCTTTGACCTCTGGTTACTCCCAGGTTTGGGAGGAATAGATACTTGTGCTTCAACTTGGAAGCCAGCCTCTAACAGGAGGTAGGAGGAAACTTGCCCAAAGGGAATGTTATGCATAACTGCTCATTACATGGTTTCTTGCACCTTTACTGGCCACTGTCAGACAGGATACTAGACTATGAACCACTGGTCTGACCCCACATGGGCATGTCTATGTTTTCTTTTTCCAAATATGCAACTGATAGAGCTATCAAAGTAAGCTGAAGAGATAAGTACTTGGGGAATTCACCCTCTAGGTATGCGCTCCTCCCTTCAGGATTGTTTCCATAGTAAGTACACATGATTGGCTGAGAGTAAAAACTGGACTGGCTTTCAGCACATTTGTACTTGCCTGCCCACAAAGACCCATTTGGATGTGGATCCACGAAAGACACTTAATTTTGCATTGCCTCTGGAGGAATTTTTGCAAGCACATTGAGAAATCCCATTCAGGTGGTAATACTGTTGCATATCACCAGCTATTTACTGGGGATAACTGAGGATTTTGTTGGGGGACGGAGAAGATATCTAAAATTTCCTTGACAGCTTAAGTTTTCTCCCCTCTGCTAGGAGAATATAGTCTCTTCCTAAATACCCTAGGTGCTGGTAGCAAGCAACAGTTTTCTATGCTGGCTTTTACAGTGATGAATGAGGCCTCTATAAATTCTCAGCTACTAATTTCTTTAATGTTTCTCCATTGAGAAACATGTGCTACCATAACACTAAAGAAGTTTAGTTTGGTATTATTTCTTGAGTTACATGGAAGTCAGTAGCCCCTGGCACAGAGTGCCTCATTCATGGATTTACATATCAGACTTCAGTCACATCTCAATTTACTTGTGATGCCTACTTTATTTGATCATGTCTCTTGCCCTTTTGGTTAGCAGCTTGCCCCCATATCTATGAACCTTAATTTAAAACAGCATACAACAAACACTAATACACTTAATTTAGCGCATACGGTCTCAGAACTCACCTTGACTGTCCTATCGGTTTGTACTGGTGTGTTGTGTTCTTGTTCCTAAAACCCTTAAACTGAAGTTTAAGTGTCTCCTGCTGACAGAGAAGAAACAGGATACGGCTGGATATCAGAAAAATAACTTTAATTGACTTACCTTTTTCATATGTAGGCATGTTCTCCTGAAGGAGTCTGCTAAGCTGGAACCCATTTAAATGCAAGAACCTTAGTTGTTCTCTCATTGTTTTCCCTTCTATAACAGAAAGTATAATATTCCCAACACTATTTCTTGAAATTGGAAGGCCAAGACCTATAGCCAACGTAGCAGCTAAATCCGTCTGTTGCACAAGTTCTGGCTGTTTTAAAGGGCCTAGAATAAGGAGGAGAATATTTACATTACAAAATTATTCCAATTTGGAAGGTGGAGCTGCAAGCTTGGGTAGTCTGCAAATTTGTTCACGTGTACTAGAGCAGATATGTTCCCAAACCAGGGTCTGTTTAAAAAAAACAAAACAAAACAACCACCACCACGGGTTGATCACAGTCTAGCTCCTCTTCCTTTCCAGCTGCTGCAACACAATAGAGGACAGCAAAAGCGTTATTAAATTCTTATGTAACATTACTCTTCCACATTAGTAATTACTGTAGTTTTAACAAGCATGTATGTAATTATGAATACAACAGGGTAGTCCATGAAAACATCTTTGAACTAAGTTGTGGTCCACATTATGAAAGTGTATGACAATCCCTGTACTATATAATGACAGGTTTCAGAGCAGCAGCCGTGTTAGTCTGTATCCGCAAAAAGAAAAAGGAGGACTTGTGGCACCTTAGAGACTAAGGAATTTATTTGAGCATAAGCTTTCGTGAGTTACAGCTCACTTCATTGGATGCATCCTGACACACTCAGTGTCCCCAACACACTGTTGCCAGAATATGTATCTAAAGGGTGCCATGTAAGGTATCATATGTAAACCAGTGAAACACCAGTCCTGGAAATCATTGTGGGTTGCATACAAAGACTTATGGGCATGCACTGGAAACAGGTTCTTAAAACATGTTTGGAAAGCAGTGCATAATCCCAGCCCGCCCTAGATAGAGAGACTTTGACCAGAGGGTTTACAGGCAGAGAACAATGAAAGGAAAATTACATAGAAGATAAACAAAGTAATCAAACCCAGAAGAGGAGCAAATTATTATGAGGATGTGAACTCCTTAGTTAGCACACTTGGGACCCCAGAGTCTGAACCCCGCTTCCCAGCAAGTAGGGTGACCCAGACAGCAAGTGTGAAAAATTGGGACAGGGGTTGGAGGGTAATAGGAGCCTATATAAGAAAAAGACCCAAAAATCGGGACATCTGGTCACCCTACCAGCAGGTCACCCTGACTCTTAAGGCAAAGACAATGGACTTTGGAAAATACAAGGGAGCAAAAAGCCATTGGAGTTATCTGTGACTTAGGAGACATAGGGAACAGAACCCTCTGAGCATATGAACATGCGATTCTCTTGGCCTTAAAGGCAGGAGCTGCTGGAAACTTGATCTAAGTGAGAAACCTGCTTATGTAAAGATTGTAACTTGCTAAAATTAAGTTTTAGTGACTGAAAACATGTTTTGTTTGTAACCATAACTGTCTTTTATTCTTGCTTAGAATCACTTAAATCTCTGGTCATGTCTACACTAGGAAGTTTACAGCAGCACAGCTGTACCAATACAGTTGTGCCACTGTAAGATTGCTCATGTAGCTGCACTATGCCAAGAGGACAGAGCTCTCCGGTCGACATAATACCACCACCTAAATGAGAGGTGGTAGCTATGTAGGCAGGAGAGCATCTCCAACCAACATAATGCTGTTCATACGAGCACTTATGCTGGCAAAACTTATGTCACTCGGGTGGTGCTATTCTCACACCCCTGAGTGACATAGGTTTTGCTGACATAAGTGGAAGTGTAGACATGGCCTCCGTTCCTCATTAATAAACTTTTTCTTAGCTTTACTACAAACCATCTCAGTGCTGTTATATTGAACTAAGTGAGAGTCTTCAGCAAACCTAACAGACTTATGTGTCTGGAGGCAGGAAACAATTTCTGTGAGTGTCCAGCAAGAGAGAATGGACACTGCAGGGAGACATCTCTGGGGAACTCATGTTCACAGATTGATACCTGTAAGGCAAGATTTAAACTGGCAGAGCCTTGAGGAGTTTGCTGGCAAGGCAGACAGGCTGCTGGTCAGGGGCCCGATGCATAGTTTAGCAGCAACAAAGCTCTCATTTGCTGAGACAGAGGGATAACAGTGGCTTACAGTTCTGGGAGTCCTAAACAGAATGTCACAGATGGTTCCTATTTATTCTCATGCTCATTCAAAATGCCACCTACAATCCTTAAGTCTTCTTTGCATGTAATCCTTGCATGCTAGTCTCAGCAACTTTCAGAATGTCATTAAAGACAAGAAGTTACCCACTGGTAAACTTGATTGATAACAACTGGTTGATATGTAGATTATATCAAACTTATTTAGTAGCAATAAGGATTTGTATCTCCTTAATAGGTTACACAAGTAATTCTTGATCAGCACACTAATTCAAATATAACTGCCAGTAGGATTACCCAATTTGCATAAACAAAATCTACCAAATTAAACACAGCCTGAATTATTTTCCCATTTGCAAGAGTAAGACCATTTAGATAGAGTGACTAAAATTCCAACTAGAAATAGAACAGATAGCAAGGGAAAGCTACATATGAGTTGCAAGGCTCACTATTAGTTACACAAATATCAAGGGACAAAATGCCATAATTTCACAAGACTCTTCAAGGTGTCATGCAGTTGACATTGATAAAATTCAACTGGGAGCAACAATCAGCTCTTGATTCGGTTATTTCAATATCTGAAAGCAACCCAACTGCCCTTGCTTGACAGCGTTGAGTGCATCAGCTGGACACCAGCTCTGCAGATGAATGATATTTGGAAGTGCCTCAGCTGTGCTGAAGTAACCTCCAGCAAGAGGACTAAGCCAAGTGTCTGACGGCAAGATTTAAAAGCAAGAAAAAGTCAGATGTCCTAGCAAATAGGTTGGGGGAGGCCAGGGAGCAGGGGACAGAGTGATATGGAAGGGCAAATTTATCTCACCGTAACTTAATTTAATTGATTATTTGGACAAAGTGTTTGAATGTAATTAAAAGTTATGCAAACCATAGAATAAATACCTTTATAAACACAAACAAGCCACTGTGATATTCCCTCCCTTTTCCTCTTATTATGTACAAATGCACTTTTCACAATGGAATGTGGTGTCAATCAGAAAAATCTTTAGTGCTGTACAATTAGAAACTTGACCAATAGAAGGACTACTCTCCTGCTCAGCATTCTGCATTCAGGGATTGGAGACAGGCATCCACATTGTCAATATTTCAACCTCTTGCCCCTCCACAGCAAGAGCTCCACTTCTCTCCCTAACACCACCATTCCAGTCTTTAGTCCTCCCACTCAGCACCGGAAATTGACATTTACTCCCCCATCACTGATCTGGGGCACAAGGGAAGGACAGAAAGAAGTTCTTCTCAGAGAAAGGCAAGGCTAGGCAGAACTCACTTCAAGCATTAATTCAGTTCCAATCTTGCCTCCTAGTGGCCAATAATCAGACTACCTCTTCAGAAAAGACCCCTTTAATAGACTCCTGAATCCTTTAGGAAGTTAGCCAGTCCTAAAGTGATGGCCACATGGAAAACAGATAGTTTAAGAGGCCAAAACACAGAGGTCATGTTTTAGCAGGACATCAGTGCACACAAAAGATAGTAAAAACACATGGCCAACGTGTTACAGTTTATTTCTCTACTAATGCAAAACATTGTTAAAAAACTGTCTGTAAAGAGGAAGTGTCTTATGTAACTTAATCTACACCAGGGGTCGGCAACCTTTCAGAAGTGGTGTGCTGAGTCTTCATTTATTAACTCTAATTTAAGGTTTTGCATGCCAGTAATACATTTTAACCTTTTTAGAAGGTCTCTTTCTATAAGTCTATAATATATAACTAAACTATTGTATGTAAAGTAAATAAGATTTTAAAAATGTTTAAGAAACTTCATTTAAAATTAAATTAAAATGCAGAGCCCCCCCCGGACCAGTGGCCAGGACCCAGGCAGTGAGAGTGCCACTGAAAAATCAGCTCGTTTGCCGCCTCTGGCTCGTGTTAGCTACCCCTGATGTACACCAATGTATAACAGCACTTTGAACCTGAAAGTTTAGAGCCACTATGAACTAAACTAGAGATGAAAGCATATTCTAAAAGACTGTTTAAAAATCTCCTACAATTGTACAGTTCTGAACAGGTTTTTTTAATATGATAAGAACTGAAATTCTTCAATCCTTACTGTGACAAAGTGGGGGTTCTGTGTGTACCACTTCTGAATTGTGGATATTTTATGAAATTGTATCATGAAGTTACCCTGTCATGGAAAGCCTACATGTATGTGGATCCACCATGAATTAGCATGATTGTGTCATGTCTCCACCAGGCCAGAGATAATGGTGAGTGATCTGCACTCAGCAATTGTCTATTCAGAGTAAAGCATCTTGGGACAATGGGTTTGTTCTAGATGGAAGATACTTCTTCCCCTTGTTGAAAGGGGAGGGGGTTGAGAGCTGTGGAAAATTACATAAAGGCACAACAAAAGAAGCAGGCGACCCCAGCAGGAGTCTATAAAGGGACTCTGAGGGTGAACTGGGGCTGGGGAAACTGAGCACCCAGCCAGCAGCTGCCATTTTCCAGTCGTCCAGCTCTGAAGGCAGCGCTGCCACCAGCAGCATTGTGGAAGTAAGGGTGGCAAACCGGTAAACACGCACGCTGCTATTAGGGCACACCAGGAATTGCAGTTCTACCAGAGTCAATGTTGGAAAAAGGATGAGCAAGAAGAAATCACGGACACTTGTTCACATTTCAAAAATCTGCCTGGACAGAGATCAGTGGACCAAAAGAAGAGGTAGGTCTTGTTGGGAAAACCCCGACATATGCTGACCCTACTCACAGCAGTCCTAGTGGGTGGCCAGGAAGGGCCACTCGCTAGGATCTGTGACACTTACCATTTCTCTTTTCAAAAGCAGAGCTGATAAATAGCAGAGGTGTGTGAACTTCTTCCTCTGAGGAACCTCCATGACTGCCTGTTTCGGACATCCCATGATCACCACACACAATAAGTAAGTTGGGCAAAGACGACTCTCTTTCCTGCAACTCTCAGAAAAAAAGGCTTCAGTAACATCAGACATGCACAAGCTTCAGAAGAATATTATTTTTCCATTTTAATAAAAATATTTCCTCTAATAATTTGTTTTTAAAATGGCTCTGCTTCCAGAGCAGATTAGTAGAGATGCACTCAGCAACTGCTGACTGCAGTACAGCTACACTGCCAGGATACTGGATTTTGACATTACTTCCACTCCTCTCCTTAATTTTGAAGTTTTAAGGCAAGCAGATCTTTCAGTACCTAGCAAGGATAGCAGAGTTAAAAAAAAAAAAAAAACACAACTCGGGATCTAAATAGAGTCAAAGGAGAGACAGACTGAACTAGCAGAACAAGTAACCCTCAATATTAATCCTGTATCGTATATTAGGACAAAAACCTAAAATCAAGATGAAGTCTAATGAACTTTTAGAAGGTATTTATATTCCAATATCCTCTTTCCATTCACTCATGACTCAGATGTATTCAGGGGAAGATATCCGATATGGTTTATCTCACGCCAAAAGTTTATTTTTGTTGTGGGAGGGGAGAACCAGAGGGAGTTTAAGTGAAACCCATCCAATGAGTTGAGTTGTTAAATTAAAATAAAAACTGCAGAAAAGTTATATTTTCCTTAATGTAAAAATCAGTCATGGTATATTTGTAGTCTCCAATGATAAACGCAATACTTGCTCTGTTTGAGTAAGTAGTTTTATATTTTTTTAAATGTCCTAAAGCTTTTAGGGTTATATTTGCATATTAACAACTCTATTGATTATCTATTAATGAATTATGCCAAGCCATTCCAACACCATATGGAAGGTTGCATTCTATCTTGCACTGAAAACAGGGGTTCAACCTCTGATGAAAACGTGGGGCAGATACTTTCATACCAAAAACTAAACCAAGCTTAAGTTTTGATAAACTTTAGAAAAAAATCAATTTGCCTGAATTCTAACCAATTAAAAATTAATCTTAAGAAGTCTGTTTTGAGTCTCAGGATTTTGGGGGTCCTTCTAGCTTAAACTACAAACATGAAACAGCCAAGCTGCACATAAGTAGTTTGAGAGTCTTTCTAGGGTTATACTATTATTTACAAAAAACTTATAACTGAATCCTTAAGTGTTAACATAAAACTTGATTTACAACATCCACTTCTATTTGACGCTGTATGCAGAAATCTTTATAACAATTAAAGAGAGTGTAACACTACTTTATTTTATGCTCTCTGTAACTTTTCCTGCATCCAAAGTTGAAGGCTAAAACAGTGCGCACAAACTGCATGTTACTAGTTCAGGGGCATTTGTGAGCATTAAAAACTTTTAACACAGAAATAACTACTGCATTGAGAAGCTATGTTCTTCATGAAACCATACTTCAGGTTCAGCAACTTCATTCCTGAATAAACTCAGTTTCATGGAAATAATGATCTTCCTGAAAAGAACAGCTACCATGCTGAAGATTCTGGATTTCATTAAACTGGTCAGCCAAATCAAGTGTGAGCTCTTGAGCCAAATGAATGATTTCAAAAGAGAAAAGGATCCGAGACAAAACAAATACTACAGTGGTTCTCAACTCTGGTCCATCACTCATGCAGGGAAAGCCCCTGGCACGCCAGGCTGGTTTGTTTATCTGCCGCGCCCGCAGGTTCGGCCGATGTTGGCTCTCACTGGCTGCGGTTCGCCACTCCAGGCCAATGGGGGCTGCAGAAAGTGGCACAGGCCAAGGAATGTGCTGGCCGTCCTTCCCACAGCCCCCATTGGCCTGGAGCGGCAAACCACGGCCAGTGGGAGCCGCGATCAGCCGAACCTGCGGACGCGGCAGGTAAACAAACCGGCTTGGCGTGCCAGGGGCTTTCCCTGAACAAGCGGTGGACCAGAGTTCAGAACCACTGAAATACTAGGATCTTTCAGAGTAACCAGCTAGCTCAGGAGTCGGTCCTATTCTTCATGAACAGAGGCGCTGATATGGGGGAGAGCCTTTCTGAAACTATTAGCCTTATAGTCAACCAAAAACACACAACTTTTGTTTTCAGAAAAAATTCAGCTGCACTTTTGAACATTAGGATTGCAGTATAATATTGGCTTTTGCCCCGTGCTTCCAGCTGTGCCCTCTGCCTAAAACTGGGGCCTTACAGGGTGGAGGGGAATTGTTTTTCTAGTCCATGAGCATTTGTGCTGTGCTATAGAAGAAAATCTTCAAAGCAGCAGCTACTTTCATGATGAAGGGATTCTTTGTGAAAGTGCCCCTTTTATTTTAGTGCAGCTCCTGAGCCAACTATATAACTTTGATGGACGCTTCCACAAAAATCCTGGGCTTCTTGAAAGTAGACACTGTTTTGGCTAGAGATCCTCTCAATCTTAAGACTGGAAATACATAAACTGTCAGTTCAAATTTCATTACACATATCAACAAAAGCATAAGAGCAAGGAAATGAAGTCAAGTCATTCAACCGTATATACTCTCGGTTCCTCCACCTAGAAACAAACTTCACCACAGAGAATACACCACTATAACTCTGCCCCAGTAAGGGTAACAGTTTTCCAGCACCCACGTTCCCCTCCCACGCCATATATTAAGGAGTGTGATTCCACAGAACTGTGCAGAAAGGATAGAGGTGATGAAGGCAGAGCTATTTGTGGTGGTGCTGGTGTTGAAGTGCTGGGAAACTGGCATTCCTGCTGGGACAGAGTTCAGGTTGCAGTATGTCTACAGTAACGTACCACTGCGGGAATTCTGCGCCACTAAACAAGCGCAGAATTAATGTTCCCCACAGATTTCCCCCTCCCCCTGCAGAATAATTGATTCTGACAGGCAGGCAAAGGGAAGCTGCAGGAGGGATCATGCTGTAGTTACACCTTTTGCCTACCAGGGGCTGATGTGACACCAGAAGAGAGGGCAGCTGGCTCACAGGCCAGAGCAGCCGTGGAGAGGGAGGCTGCCTTCCTCACAGCGCCCTGCCTGTGGAGGCAGGTGAGGAGGCACAGCATATGGGGTGGATGGACAGAGTAGGGCAGACGAGACTGCTGGGGGAAGCGGGGGGGTGTCACACAGATGGGCTAGTGGGGAGGACAGACTGGGGCAGGAGCACAGGAGCTAGTGAGGGGCTAACACTGAGCCGGGGCTGAATGGGTGTGAGGATGCAGGACCACAAGGGGACGGGGCAGCTATGCCTGGCTGAATGGGGAGTGGAGATGCAGGGACATCTGGGGACAAGGGCAGATGTGCCTGACTGAATGGGAGGGGCTAGGAGTCAGCCAGGGTCTGCATGGAGGCGGCTCCACAACTCTAGAACAATCCCTTCCCTCCCCCCAAAAAACCCCAAACTGTTCCATACTTCTCCCATCCACACCCAACAACCCTCCAAGTTCACTCCCAGGCTCCTTCCCAGCAATTACTTTCCTCTCCCTCAGCTCCTCCTTTACACCTGACTCCCCCAAGCCTTTGCACTGCTTCCGAAGGGTGCAGGAAACACGTTTTTGTATTGGTTTCAGAGTAACAGCCGTGTTAGTCTGTATTCGCAAAAAGAAAAGGAGTACTTGTGGCACCTTAGAGACTAACCAATTTATTTGAGCATGAGCTTTCGTGAGCTACAGCTCACTTCATCGGATGCATACCGTGGAAACTGCAGAAGACACGGTATGCATCCGATGAAGTGAGCTGTAGCTCACGAAAGCTCATGCTCAAATAAATTGGTTAGTCTCTAAGGTGCCACAAGTACTCCTTTTCGTTTTTGTATTGTAGATTAAATGAATTATTACTCAAAATTCTGTATTAAGATGCCTAATAAGGAATCTATTTGTCAAAAAACATTTCCTGAATCTTTTTTTTGTTGTCTATATTGTGTGACAAAGCTCTGTCCTTGCCTCCGTGGGTCCTGCGTTTCCTGGAGGATTTCGCTAGCCTCAGAGGCTCCCTGTGACCCTCCACGTAACCCTTTTCTCTCTCTAGAGACAACGGTCACAGCCTACTAAGCCATTTTCATCATAAGCCAACAAGGGAGGTGAGGAGAAGTTATCCTTCCTTGCACAGTCTCTGTTGTCTCCCAGTCTCAGTCATTAATCAGGGGGCAAACGTGGGGGGGGGGAGGGAGAGCCCAGAACCACCCTCTACTCCGAGCGCCAGCCCAGGGACCCTAATAGTATCAGCTATGGTAGCTGACCTTTTAGAATCATGACATGTACAATACCCTCGGCTACTTCCCCCACAGCAGCCCTCACTTCCTCAAGCTCCACTTCACCCTTACCTCAGGGCCTCCTTCCTTGTGCCAGATATGGTGTGTACTACTCAGCCTCTCCAACAGCGCAACTTCCTCCCACAGCTCCTGACATGCACACCCACCTGACTAACTGGGAGGCTTTTAACTAGTTTCAACCAGCTCCTCATTGGCTTCAGGTGTCCCAATCAACCTAGCATTCTCCCTGCCTTCTGGAAAGTTCTTAATTGGCCCCAGGTGTCTTAATTAACCTGGAGCAGCTGCCATTTCACTTATCCTGGTACCAGGGATTTGTTTAGCCTGGAGCTAATATATCTATCTCCCACTACTTTTCTATAGCCATCTGGCCTTGCCCCGTCGCAATTGGTTCAGACATACTTGCTGACAGGTATTTTGAAATAAATTACCAAAATGAGTGAAACTAGCATGATTATAGTGTTATTTTGACAAATAAAATATGCAGAATTTTTAACTTTTTGGCGCAGAATAACCCCAAGAGTACTACCACATGATGGTTCTAGTAGCAAAGTAGCAGCTTTCAGTGGAGTACTGTTAGATGCTTTAACTTCATTTCCTCATTTCTGTAGCTTTGTGTTAGTCATAGCTGAACTTTAACTGAGTGTTCTTGTGTGTTAACATTGATCTGAAACATACGCACAATTGCTAGCATAGCAGAATGGAAATACATGGCACCCAAATTAAAGTTATTTAGGTTAATACTCCTTATCACATTAGATTGATTGTGCTTGTATAGTATTGTAATAGCTTGAACATTTTAAAATAGGACCTGATCCTGCAGAGTTTTGACAGTCTTTTCCTTCTGTGACTTTGATAGCAGCTCCTGGGTACTCACCACCACTTTTGAAAAGTGGGTTATATTTAGGCTCCTAAATATGCCTTTAGGCACCTGCTTTTCAAAGTCTTGGCCAGTATACTCAAGAACATCTGTTAATAAAAGTTGTGAAAGTAAAATCTTTAAGAACAGGAACTAGAAGTAAGTGTTTCACCTTTGAGAGGAGTGAAGTGTGAATCTTCTTGAGGATGTTATCCATTTCATAAAGCTTTGGTCCCACCAAAGGGCTGTTTGGTCCAGTCAGATGACCAATATGGTCCAATCCTAGGTAGTGAAGTATTAGTATATCCCAGTCTTCTCTTTTTAAGACACCGTCCAAATGCCTGGTAACGTTCTCATCAACCTTGTAGATGAAAGCAAAACATTTTAGAAAAATCACATCTTCCTATTCTACTAGGAGTAAAGGAAAATTAAATTGCTTCATTTGACACCACACGTTCAAGTTCCATAGAAGTTAAGTGAGAACTGCAGGATGATCACCAATTTTGAAAATCATATTTGCCATGTAAATCAGCTTGAAGCCAGGAACCTAACTGTAGGTACCCAGTTTCGCCCCTTTCAGCCCCGGTTCCCCCCCTTTCAGCTGAAGAGACCCCAAAACAGACAAGAATGTATGTATAAAAAAACAAAACAAGACAGGGCTGTCAAGCCACTGAGGGGCATTAATTTTCTTTAAAAAAAAGAAATAGTTTAACCTTTTGACTAATTTTCCTCCTGTACTCCCCTGCCTTTCACCTCTATCTCCTTCCCTACTGTTCAGTAGGGAGTTCAGTCTCCAATATTAACTCTTTTGTCCTTCTACTGGTTTTCATTGGAGGAGCCCAGCCCCTCCCTTCCCATTCACTCTTGATACAATTTAAAGTTTTTAAACTTTCTACTCAGTTTGACAGCCCATTTGGAGTTTAACATTCATTCTAGGTTCTTCTCATTTTAAAAGAAAAGCTATGTAAACATTCAGTTCAATACTAACTTGTCTATTGAGCGATCAAGGCCTTGTAATAATGGAATAATCCACATTGAAAACTTCAGATCATGTCAATGTTTCTAGAGGAGCAATGTGTATCTAATGTAGTTAAGTGGTAAAAAAAAAAAAAAAGATTTCCACTAACAGTAGGCCTAACAAAAAAAAAGTTAGCTTTTCAAACATGGAATTAGAAAGTACCTATGGCAGCAGCCACCTAATGGTCTTATGGTTTACTGGAAGAAGGAATCACAACTTCCAAATATTAACTGAAATTGTAGAATTTTTTTCAGCACATGGAAACAAGTGACTTCAAAACTTGATTACTTCCCTCCTCCCTCTTTGCTAAAATAATCGCACGAGCCACAAGAGCTATAAAAAAAAAATCTCAAGTATGGGATTAAAAATTTGGCAAGGCATATAGCACTAGTACTAACTTTGGTAGTCCTTTAAGACACTAAAATCATGTCAGAAATGAAGTGGCAGAACAGAACACAGTAATTAGACTTACGTGATTTTTAAGGTGCAAAGACACACAACTGGCCAGGAGAGGGCGATGTGTGTGGGGAAGGTGGTAGGTGTGTGGCAGGAGACCCTGTTTTCTAGTGTTCAACTGCATTGAATTTCTGTTGTAAGTGATTTGTGATAAATCAAACTTTCAACACTGTTACTGCACTTTTGCCACTAGGCCCAGACTTCCAACCATGAAATCGTTCAATCCCTGCCACTATAATCTGATTATTTAGAACAAGATGGAGAGTTTAGCACAAACAGGATTACGTTAAAAGGCAAACTAATGCAGTATCCTGCTTACATCTGCATGTTACCCTACGTGTGGGCCAACATGCCGCTGCACTGCCCCAAGGGAGCACAAAGAGGCATTTTGTTTAAGAAACACAGCTTCTCCCAGGGCTCCTGCATTGCAATGGAATGGGTGTGCAGGGAAGAATAGTTTACAGCACTCCTTTACATAGGAGCTGAACACTTCCCCCTTCCAGCCAGCTGGCTACCACACCCCTGGCCTTCTGCAACCAATTGTTCAGAGGAGGAAGCCCCAGGGCTTGCTTAAGCACCCAAAACTGAAACATGGGTAGCCTTTCCAGGACTGCCCTTCATCACCACTACACAGCCATCTTAGAGCACATGGCAATCTAGACAAAACTGGATATTTTTGATAGCTACATGATCAGAGATCCTAGCTGTACTAATACAACTTTTATTTTTGGTTTGTATTATGGGAATGGTGAGTGGACTGAAAACATGTACAGCTTTGTTTAAAAATCCACAAAATGATCTAGTCTCCCACCACTACAAAGTTTTGTGGGTAAATCACATGAATATTAAATAGGAGTTATTCACAGACCTCCTGCACATTAATGGACAAACGAAATGGCACATGCTTAATCTTTTTCAATTAATTAGGCCTGGAATAGCTGTTTTTTAAAATGAGCATGCAGCTATATTAAGGGTTTTCTATTGCTCCCCCATTATTATCGTATCCAAGGACCTTCCACATGAAATTCATGGGAACAGCAAAATCCCTAGTTTCATACTGTGAATACTTTTTTTAAAATAGGGTGTATCAATCCAGTTTTCAATTAGTAGCCAATGTCTTGCATACTCCAAAACATGGCCAATGTTTTTTGAGAAGGAAGTATTCACTAAAGGTTTGAAAAATGTGTGTGCTCATACGTAAAAGCTTCTTACCTCAGTATAATCTGACACAAAAAATGATGTTGTTCCATCATATTCCACAAAATGCTTTGGAAACAGTTTAACCCAAGTGTCGTCACCATAAAAGACTATTCTTTTCCCAGCTGTTTTTGCCTGCCATATCAGGTTGTCTTCCAAGAGTGCTGGAGAATTAAGGTTCATGATAACATCAATGAAGCCAGGTATGCTACCAGTCATCAAAGCCTAGATAAATAAAGTAAACAGCAGAAGCTAAGGTAGTATTTGACACTTGTGTGAAAAATAATGAGGTAAAATTAACAGTGGCCTGGCCGGGGGGGAGGAGGGGGGGGAGGAGGAGAGAGAATCAGGCTTACAATGTCAAAGCCTAATAAATGAATTAACCCACGAATTGCCATACCAGAGTCCAGTATCCTGTCTCTCACTGTAGTCACTGGAGCTATACTGAAAATGCTGATTCAGGGCAACCGCAAAGAATAGGGCGGACGATCCCCACAATTGGTGGTTTAATCTATAATTAGGTTTCACCAAGCTAATGACCAAACAGCTTCATGCTTTCCTGGTTACCAAGAAGCCGAAACACAGTTCACTTTAAGCAATCCAGCCTTTGGCTCCCACCCAGACAGCCAAGTCTAATATAGTGAGGGTTAAACTTTATTCACCATATGTAAAGTTCTACCAGCCCCAAGAGACCCAGACACATTACCCATCAGGTCAATGAATATTTCAGAACTTACTGCTAATCCTTATCAACTAAATCTAAGATTTATTAATAACGAAAAGAAAAAAAAAAGTTTCTATGGTTAAAGATCATTATACATACAGATACGAGTAAAGTCCTTAGGTCAGTTTCATAGCAGAGATGGTGAGGCTGCTGATCTGTAAAAATCCTTTTGGAATCAGTTTAAAAGGTTATAGTCCAATAGGCAGTCCATATGCAGAGTTTGTTCAAATTCTTCCACAAAAATTGCAGGGTTAATCCAGAGCAGACTAGAGCCCTCAGTTTTACAGGTTTAGACTTTCCCTGTCAAAGTTTAAGCAGATCCAAGACAGCAAGGTTCAGGCCTGAAACTTCCTTTATAGCTTGAAGCTCAGTGGATAAGCCTGTTGGCAGCAAATGATTACAGCAGGCCTTCCTTGATGAAGAATAGGTAATGTACACTGTTGCTCTGAAGCTAATCTTTGTTTCCGAGGCATACACTGGTAACTAGTTGCATTCATTAGCATAAGGCAATTAATCATTCAAACAATTCACAGGTAGTTTTACTATGCAGAATCACAAATTTCAATGAGAAATTAAGGCAATATTACACCACAAGTCTCATCTAAATGAGATAGTTTTTGATCTCCGAATCAACAGAATACTGTAATGCAACATTATAGGCAGGAACAGAAATCTAGCACCCACAAGCTAATTAGACCACATTGTTAAACTTTTAACAAGATATCGTTAAACAGACAAATACAAGAAGTATCTACTTTTAATCCTCTAACAATACAGACCTACATACCTAGGACTCTAGTCTATATAACATGGCCCTGTTATCTATCTACAAGCAATGGCCCTGTTTACCATTTCCATACTCTTCTAATATGTCCTCCTAAGGGTTACTTTCAGGTCAACCAGCCTACTGGTTCCTTAACTGCTGGTTCAGCATCACAACAAACTGCCACACCAGAGGCAGTCCTGTACCCTGTCTCTGACATTAGCCAGTGCTAATTGGCTTACATGAAGGTACAAGAAATCCCATAATGGATCGTTTTCCCATAGGGGAAAGCCCAGGCAGTAGTTGCGTTTAAGCCCACACGGACACAGCCCATAGTAAAAGCTTCTACACTTACATTATGTAAGGATAAAAAATTTACAATCCATAACAACGTCATTTTAAAAAAATCCTACTAAGCTCTTGGCCTCAATTAGGGACAGGAATATTCACATACTGTGCTCTGAGTAGCAACAAAAAAGATTCCTGATTTAACCGATTTTGTGGAACCTTACCAAATGTTAAGGATGACTCAACTAAAAACAAAAGTTCTCAAAAGAGGGAACAAAATTTAGGAATAAGGGAAGGGTGTATTAATCATGGATGGCAAGAGTTTCTAAAGAACAGCCTAAAAATAAATATTTGAGCGGGCACAGTTGTTTTCAAACATCAACCCATAGACAGCTGCCAAAAAAAATTTGCAAAGTGAGAAAGTTTCAGCCCAAGGAGGCAGAAGCCTTCTTGTTTTCATGGAAGTAAGTGTTTACAGAGATAAAGTATTGTTTATGCCTCTGCTGGTCTAAAAATATCAGACTGTTAGCCAAAGCAGAGAAAAGTACAGCCCTCACCAAGGACTCCAAGATAGGTACAGAAGACTATTTATGTACTGAATTATTTGATTGCATTTATTTTTCCATTCTGAGAACAGAAATAATGGTGTACAATTGACAATGCATGTTTGGCTAAGAAGCTGCTGTATCTTGCAATGTTGTTTTCTTTATGTTTGCATCTTTTATAAAGCTATAGTTATCTGGGCAAAGGCAGTGGGATTCTTTGATGTTAAGTGTACTCAAACTTTGTATCTGAGATGAAATAATTTAAGACAGCCTCCAGGTTTGTGTACAAATAGCATGAAACAGGAGGGAAAAATTCAAGTGATTAAGAGTTTTACTATGAATGAAATTCTAGGATCCTACCATTTTCTTTATATTACATTCTATAATATTGTTGGTTAGTTTTGCAGACTTAATGGTCTGCTGAGCTCAGCAACACCAAACAATTTATTCTCTGCAAATTTCCATTTTAGAGTAAAAAGTGTAGGCAAAGCAATTTGGTTACCAAAATTCAAATTATCTAACCTAAAAATGAATAATCACTATGCAGTTGAAATTGAACAAGTTTGAGACCCAGCTAGAATATACTGATGCTTAATTCACCAGTACAGGCTTCAGATCCAGATAACAGATGCTGCTATGGTCATCACCAGTCCAAAAAAGACAGCCACGCAGCCCTGGATTTCTGTTACCTTAACCATCATTGAACAACATCACATTGCTTCTTTGAGAAGAGATATGGTCATATTGTAATCCAAATTGTGTTCACAACCATGACCGGAGTCCCAGGGGTGCCAACTGATGTCACTCAATTAGGGTGAACTGCAAAGAATGGGGAAGACAATCCCCAAAGCTGGTGGATATTCCAATATTTAGATTTACCAAGCCAGCACAAAACAGCTTCTATAATACCTCACTGGTTACCAAGAAACCAACAACACAGTCCCTTAAAGTAACCCAGCCTTAGGCGTCCACCCAGACACCCAAGTCAAATAGGATAACGATTACTGAAAATCTTATTCATCACATAAAAACGTTCTACCAATCCCAAAGGATCGGACACTTTACCTCCCAGGTTAATGAATATTTCAGATTTTACCCAAACACATGCTGACAGCCAATTCTTATTAACTAAACTAAAATTTATTAAAAAAAAAAGAAAAGAGACTACTGGTTAAAAGATCAATATACATATAGACAGGAGTACAGTTCTTGAGATTAGATTCATAGTGGAGATGGTGAGCTTTGTAGTTGCAAAGAGTTATTTCAGAAATAGTCCATAGATTATAGTCCTATGTTCACATTCAGGGCGATTCAAGATTAGAACTGGAGATCTCAATCTTGGTCTTAAGCTTCCCCTGCATGAAGCATCAAGCAGATCTGAGATAAAAAGGATTGGGACCCAAGGCATCTTTATACATTTTCAGGCCTTCTTGTGACAGCTTGGAGTCCTTAGGCGAACAATAGGCACTCATGGGGACTTTGAAGAGGACTCATTTCCTAAGCATCGCCGATAATTATCTACACAGATTAACATAAGGCAATTGCCCGCTTTCCAACAGTCTCAGGTGATTTGCTATACATTTCAAAGAGAGACTAACAGAGTGATATCCTAGATTCACAATTTAAATATTAATATTCCCTTTTGATCTCTGAATCAATAGCTATAGTGACAGACAAAAATGTCTGTTTACATGACTAACATTTAACAAGAAATAAGCACATACATACAATTAGTATCCCCTCCAGTTCTTTAACAATACAGGTTGCACTTCAAAGTTCTAGCTTATCTAACATGGCGTAGCCTAATTACCATTCACACTCTTTTCTAACATCTCTAATGGTTGTCTCTGGGTCAATTAGCCTGCAAGCTGCTTAACCCTTTCTGGCTACGCATCACAGCAACAAAGCCACTCACACTGTCTGCAAAGCTTTTATGGAAGCCAAGGTTATCGCACTCTAGAAGCTTCAGCCAGGAACAACATCACCTCCTTATATAAACATTTGCACAACCTTACTGATGCGAAAGGTCATTCATTCAGAGTTTGTAGCAATGATGTTACAGACTGCTGGCTTGTAAAGTCTCTGATAACTTCTAAAAGATGGGAAGGTCCTCAGATCATAATCAATATGCTCTTTTCAGTTGTAAATCCACAGTCCAGAGCACAAAACAGACAAGATGGAGATATTTCCAGGGTCCTTCATAGCCTTTGCCATATGGATGGTGTGATGTTACACCCCGTATTCTTATGGAAATATGCTTATGATGTGAATATGGCATAACAGATATTTTATGCAAGATGGGTCTTGTAAGGTGTCATTGGAAAAGTTATAATTTACTGAATGTGATTATCCAATTTGTATGTATGTATCATTTCTGTATCTAAAGTTACGAATATTGACTAAGTAACAATTACAATTGGGTGTGTACTTGGGGAACATCCCCTCCCCACAAGACAACAGGCCATCAGCCTTGATGGGCAATTAGGAAGAAACAATAAGACTTTGAAGATACTAATCTCTCTCCTTCCTGAGAGGCGTCCTGGGACATAGCTGTGACACTACTAGGTCAGGTGATCCTATCACCTAGTACTAAACACCATCTTGGACTTCTAGTAATTTTCCACTAAAAGAGGAGGAAGGTAAAAACTGGGAAACAAAAGATTCCCACCTTATGTAAATCTTATTTAAGGCTGGGGAGTAAGGTAAACAGGACTTTTCTCCATTGCCTTCCTGCCCAAGAAAACAGACTGAGCTGTGGGAAAGGCAAGGGCTGACTTCAGATTGAGACAGAGGAGTCTAGTCTGTAAAGAGAAATACCTGGAACTCTAAGCTACAGAAACTCTGCAACTTCCTAAAACAACATTTAGGAAAAGAAATTACTTCTTGAAACTAGTCTCTTTAAGAT